GTCCCCTTCATGGGACGCTGTGAGTCATCCGTCTCGTCGTCGTTCCTACTCCATCATGATCGTCCTCCTGCCTCTTCTCCTTTATCCTCCTCCTCCCCCCTCGTTGTCCATCACCTCGACGATTCCTCGCCTGCCATCGTTTCCTCTATGGCCATCCTCGTCACAGTGGCCGTTTTCGTGCTTGCCATGGTTACTGTCCTCGTCATCCCCCTCCCCTTTCATGTCATCCTCTCCCTTTTTCATGTCATCCTCTCCCCCTTTCATGTCATCCTCTCCCCCTTTCCACCCTTCTACCTCGTCCTTCAAACCCCCCCTTCCGCATCATTCTCTCTTTTCTACCACTCCACGTTAGCTTTCCCTTTTGCTCTCTCTCTCTCTCTCTCTGATCAGATCGATTTTGCCCCGACTCCGTATCCCCCCCTTGCTTTTTTTTTCCGTTTTTTTTTTTCTCTTTTTAATTGTCCCACGGTCTTCTCTCTCTCTCTCTCTCTCTCTCTCTCTCTCTCTCTCTCTCTCTCTCTCTCTCTCTCTCTCTGATCGTTACTGGCCGGCACGTTGCTGAAGGAATCGATGGAAGCACTCACTCGATCGATTCTGGTCATGAACTTATCAGTGATAACAGGTCGGTTGCCGATTCGTCGGTCTACGACTCAACTCTCCTATTTCTCATGCCTCTCAACCTAAGGCCCTTGCCTTGATTTACGTGTTTTCTTTGGGTTTTCACCCAGCCTCTTTATAAATGGCCATTTCTTAAGGACTGAGTACTTTTGTTGAGGATTGGTGGGGAAATGGTTGGGCTTGTATGCATAAGGCAGGGTGTGAGCCGCAGAAGGTTGGAAAGTTGACCCCTTTGGTGTGTGTGATGTTGTTTGAATGTTGTGCATATGATTGCAGGTATGCATGAGAGAACTTCGAATGAGAGTCGTTGAGTGATTATGATGGGCAAACCACACAACTGTCGTGAGAGTGAACTACCCCACAACTTTTGGTTTGAGTGAGATTGTTCTTTTCCCACCCCGATAACGTGATAGTCTGAGTAAGCGTACGCTCGGGTAACCCACAAAAGACTATGCAACCGCACTCTTACGTTTTCCTCTACTCAAAGAGTTTATCTGGTCGGATGTTAACGTCCCGGGCCTGAAAAAGGTCCTTGTCCGAGACTTTGATTTACTTACCGTCCAGGGGGGACAGAAGCGCCGCAAGGAGGGGTTGTCCCCTAGCAACTCGTTCCGGCGGGCGTTTGTATTTTCCCTTGCCAACGTCAAGTAATCTTTTTCTTGTTTCTTGTTGTAGATTATTTTGGTGGAACGATAAAGTTCCGGGAGGAAGGAATAGCTGGTGATGTGCCAGACAACTCACCACCGCTCCGAATTCCTTCCTGCCCTAGGGACCACCTCACCCGCACCCTTTTAGGACACCTCAGGGTGCAGAAGGTGGTAAGGCCCTCAGGCCGGGTTTGCGCTCGCTAAAGGTTTACCCCCCTTAGCGCGCACTTCAGTCGACGCCTGAGCGTCGAGAGCGACCCCATGGCTCAAATAAGGCCACTCGGGTATGGGCACTACATAGTGCGCTGACATCACGACTGCTTACGCAAATCCGCATTGTTGGTCGGTATGCGTAGGGCTTGTGTCCGCACAGTTGTATGTTAACCCACGCGCGCAGCGCTTGCCGATGTCCGCGCTCAAAAGTTATGGGTCAAGCCAAGAGAGCAAAAGCACACTATGGCCAGTAGGCCCGAGCTTCGGCTGCGCGAAGCGACGAGTAGGCAGGGAGTCATCCCTGATCGGCCTATGGGGACCCCCGTACGAGTCTCCAACATCTCGAACGTCGGGCGGCCCATGGGCCTGATTTTGGGCCTTACCCATGCGCATCTTTCGGATTGGCTTACCCCTTCCATTTGGAACGGCTATTAGACTATTTGCAGTTGTTTCCTCTTTACAGTTTTCATGGTTGGACGTTGTAGTCCGTGGTAGCCGCCAAACCCTTCAGGTTGGCTACCACGACAACCCTGAAGCTGTCTACTCAACCCCTCTGCACAGGGTGCAGAAGAGGGTGTGGTCGTCAACCGCGCATGGCGGTTGTCTAGCGCCGAGAAGGTAACCCCTCAACGCACTTGCCAGCCGACACTTGAGTGTCGAACACGACCCTCGAGATTACCAAGGGCGCGTGGTTACGAGTACCACGTAGTACCCCATCAACGCGAGTGCTTGCGAATGCCCGCATGGTTGGTCGGTATGAGAAGGCCATGCGCGCGCATGACTCTTATACGAAAAACCAGCACGCGATACGTATCTGATTCTCGCGGCAGAACGTTATGGGTCGGATACTGAAGGGACTAGGAGTGTTGTGATGTTGTGTTTGTTTTGTGTGTTTCCATGTGTTATGTGTGAGTAGATGTGAGTGTTGTGGTGTAACGCGTGATGTGTGTAATGCATCCTAGTCGACCGGCGCCGAGTCGCGCTTGGGACCTCAGCCCCCCAAAGCGTCGATTCACGTGCGGGTTCGATCTTTGGGCGTTCGACCGCACGTAACCCCAGCGAACGAAAAACGCCCTCGGCTGGGCCACCCCTGCAATTGCATATGAAAAGCCTTCGCATGTGGCTCAGTAGCTCGGCAGGGATACGCCCACCTAAGGGATGGTGACAGCGAAAATACTCTAACTCCCTAAATTCTACAAAATTTCGGCAGCGCTTCCCGTAGGACAAGTGTCTTTTCAGAATTTCCATGAGTCCAAAAATAACTAACTCTTTCATATTTATAGAAATTTCGGCAGCGCTTCCCGTTAGGAGCAGGAAGCTGCCAAGATTTATACAAAGCTGAAAACAGATAGACCAATCCAAACTATACTTGGGACTAACTTCTGACACTTCCTTGGTAAGTAGGATCAGCGATAGTCTGCACGACCTCTAGATGAGATTGTGAGTTGACACTGATCCTAACTCCTAGCAGGGTCATTTCTATCCTGTCCCAAGCTTCCCTCCCATCATCCATCTCATCTACCTATAGCTCCAGCTCTCAGCGAGCATCTAAAACAACTAACTCATTCAAAAGATGCCCCAATATGAGAGCCCAAAGCATGCACAACCAAACATCTCTCGCCATCCCACATCATTTTGAGCCAAGTAGTTCGTTAAGTCACTCAGTTCTTTTTTCCCTTTTTATATCCCCCTTACTTATGGCATACGATCAGACAATACCCTAACCTAAGGGTATGCCTGACCTGCCTAGGAAAAATAAGTAAAGTACGCACAACCGGCTTGCCCTAACCTAGGGGTGTGCCCAACATAAACTATATACATAAAGCATATGTCCAGACCGCCCTAACCTAAGGGTACGCCTGGCTTCTACTTAACTAACAACACGAAGCATAGGACTAGACTGCCCCAACCTAGGGGTAAACCTAACCAACTTTAAACAAAGTTACATATGGCATAGGGTTAAACTGCCCCAACCTAGGGGTGTGCTTAACCTGCCTAGACAACCACAAACGACAAATGGTTAGACCGTCCTAACCTAAGGGTACGTCCAACCCACAAAACATTAGCGACAAGGGCATATCACTAGGCCGCCCCAACCTAGGGGTGCGCCAAGTTAGCCTATACAATTCAAGTTACATAAGGCAATGCGACCAGCCCGCCCTAACCTAAGCCGCACTAACCTAAGGGTACGCTTAGCCTCCGTAACAATAATTTAAGCAACCATGAATACATGCACAACCTCTATGATTTTCTCTCTTCTTAGGCAGATAGTCAGACCTACCCA